CGGGGGGGGGGGGGTGTCCATCAGAATACAGGTCATAACAGAAAGGGCAGGGGTAGCAGCATTATTACTCAAAGCTGGTTGCTGCTGTTACTTTGAATTTTCCTCAGGACCTCTGAAGAAGACACCCAGGGACAGATAGGATCTTCGTCAAGGTCCATCTCAAAAACAGGCAGGAGGGGGAAGGGGAGGGGCAGGAGGGCAAATAGAGAATGAGGGGGGCAGGAAGAGAAAGAGGTAGCAGGAAGGTAGGGCAGAAGGAAAGACGAGACAGACCCCAGGCCATCAGCATCCTAAACTTAGGACAGAACAAAGAACTAGAATCACTGCTTCCAAATACACACAAAAAGTCACTCCCATTGAAAGGTCTTTATTTATAGTTTAAACTGAAGTACAGTAATACTAAAGGCAAATTTGAAAAGTCATCATATTCTCAGTATTCTAACAAGGGCATTTTCAGTTCTCCAATTGCCTTGTTATGTTTTTAATTCAGTTCCCATCTTCACTGAGTATGCTCTCTGCTAGGTATGGGTGCAAGGATAATAAGATGGGCTTTTATTACCAGAAGGGCTCAAATATATTCACATCCTAGGGTGACTCATAGTCACTTGAATGAAACACTCTTTTCTTTAAAAGACATTCTTAAGTCACGGAATGTCATTTGTTTCAAGTGTACCAAAAGCAAATGTGTAAAAAAAAAACGGTAAGAGGGGCACCTGTGTGGCTCAGTTGATTAGGTGTCTACCTTTGGCTCAGGTCGTGATCCTGGGGTCCTGGGATCGAGCCCCGCGTTGGGCTCCCTGCTCAGCCGGGAGTCTGCTTCTCCCTCTCCCTCTGCCCCTGCCCCCCAACTTGTGCTCTCTCTCTCAAATAAATAAATAAAATCTTTAAAAAATGGTTAAGAAATTCTCTAATACACCAAAGACTCAAATGTGTTTTGGTTCAAAGTATAGGAAAAAGAATGTCAAAGTTTTTCCTGTAAGCTCCACTCAATTTAGGTATAGTAGAATCAAATGTTTAAATTAGAGTTCATTTTGCTTCCCCTTTTATAGTTTTGGAACAACCATATAACATGGGTGATAATACTTCAATATACTTCAATACGCTTACTACTTAAGAATGATGAAGGAAAGGCATTGTCTAATAAGAAAGACCAAAATATTTACAAATATATATTGTAATCAAAGACACGTGTATGTAGGCTAAGGGATTCTAAAGTTATTCAAAATCTAATATCTTTATTCTTATGGTAGTTTTACAATTTCATAAAAATCCAAGAGAAACGGGCGCCTGGGTGGCTCAGTTGGTTAAGCGACTGCCTTCGGCTCAGGTCATGATCCTGGAGTCCCGGGATCGAGTCCCGCATCAGGCTCCCTGCTCGGCAGGGAGTCTGCTTCTCCCTCTCCCACTCCCCGTTTGTGTTCCCTCTCTCGTTGTGTCTTTCTCTGTCAAATAAATAAATAAAATCTTAAAAAAAAAAAAAATCCAAGAGAAAGGCTATCCTTCCTATTTAAAAACTGGACACTAATAAGAATAAAAAATTGAGGAGTATATAACTCTTACCTATTCACTCCAATAATTTATCATAAACGAAGGCTTTCTGAGTTAACTTTGTGTCCAAAGTGTAGGCAATGATTTAATAAGCTAATGATGAGATTTTAAATAATGTTGTCAATAAATACATAGTGTCGGGTTGACAAACTGAATTTGTAGCCATTCTTTTTTTTTTTTCTTTTTTTAAAGATTTTATTTATTTATTTGACAGAGAGAGACACAGCGAGAGAGGAAACACAAGCAGAGGGAGTGGGGAGAGGGAGAAGCAGGCTTCCCACTGAGCAGGGAGCCCGATGCGGGGCTCGATCCCAGGACCCTGGGATCATGACCTGAGCCGAAGGCAGACGCTTAAAGAGTTAGCCACGCAGGTGCCCCCCTTTTTTTTTTAAAAAAAGATTTTATTTATTTATTTGAGAGAGAGCGCGCGAGCATGAGAAAGGGGAGGGGCAGAGGGAGAAGCTGACCCCCAGCTGAGCAAGGAGCCCAATGTGGGCTTGATCCTGGGACTCCGGGATCATGACCTGAGCCAAAGGCAGATGCTTAACCGACTGAGCTACCCAGGCGCCCGGGGAATTTGTAGCTATTCTTGCATATTACTATTAGATATTAGCCAACACTCAGGGTCACCATATCTGTCCCATTCTGAATACTTGTGCTGATAATGCTATTGTTAGGTTACCATTACCCCTGAGGGCTACCATTTGTTTAGTTCATTATGTGCCTGGCATAATGTATTTTACGGCTGACAACATGTGGGTTAGGGGCACCAACCCCCATGCAGTCAAAAATCCACATATAACTTCTGTCTCCCCAAAAACTTACCTACTAATAGCGCACTGCAGACTGAAAGCCCTCCTGAAAACATAAACGATCGTCACCATATTTCATATGTTACCTGTATTACATACTGTATTCTTATTATAAAGTAAGCTAGAGAAAAGAACATGTTAAGAAAACCATAAGGAAGAGAAAATACATTTACAATACTGTACATATATTTATTGGAAAAAATCCGCATATAAGTGAACCCACCCCGTTCAAACCCCTGTTGTTCAAGGGTCAACTGTATAGGACCGCCTCTTCTCATGCTTATAGTAACCATGAGGATTAAATGTTATTATCTCTGCTCTGCAGAAGGTGATTGTAACAAAAGCTACTAAGCATTCCGCATGTGCCCTTCTATGTTGCAGCTCACTCATTTAATGCTCACAATAATCCTATGATACAGCACTACTATTATCCTGACTTGACAGATGAAGACACTGGGGCACAGAGCAAATAGCATTCCCAACATCACATACAACACGTGGCAGAGCCCAGACCCTCAGAACACCAAAGCCACAATCTTATTCACCACCTGCCCTCCATTCTACCTATGAGAAGGGGTGAGAGCAGACAGGAAAGGGGCCAGGGCTGGTGTGGTCAGAGCTGAACCCCCTAATGCACAAGCCAAGTCTTAAATCTGGCCGGGACTCACCCCCCAAATTTCCCTGAAGGAACTCACAACAAGGAAACGGAAATCCGACCCCAAAGGTGGCAGAGCTCAATGGTCCCAGAAACACATGACCCAAAGGCCAGGGCTTCCAACTGACCAGAGCACATGGCATCACGGAATCAGGAGCCTTGGTCTGAACAGATGCCCCATGTCCATTCAGTGGTCACCAACTGCTTCTTTACTATGGCCCACAAAGTGCCCAACCACACTAGGCTCTCAGTTACTGAGCTAAATGAGCCAGGGGCCCACCTCAAGAGCTAACAGTGGAGGGAAACAAACAACATGAAATACGGGCTGTTGGGATCACAGCCAAGTGTTCTCAGATACAGTAGGGGGCCTCAAGGAGGGAGGGGGTGGGGTCAATTCTAACGTGTGTGAGGAGGTTAAGAAAGCCTAAAAGAAAAGGTAGGCAGGGAGCCGAGTCTTGGAAGTGAGGCCAGGAAGACTTCTTCCAGCAGGAAGGCAGGAAGCCATGGTAAGACGCAGTCCCACTGGGAGGAAGACACCTGTGCTGGCAATGAGCTGACTCACTTACAACCCGCAGCCTAAGGACAGACAGACACTGTGAAGAAATGAGATGAGTGTCCCAAGCATCATGCTGGAGTATATTTGCTACGGAAGAGGTTTTCTGCTTAGGGAGAAGTTCCCCATTCCCACCCAGCACCCAGGATGAGGGTGCTCACCTTGACCTGAGTCCAGGTTCCCCAGGGAATACTGCAATGACTAACACATTCTTTTTTTCCTCTAAATTAAAGATTTTATTTATTTATTTGAGAAAGCGTGAAAGTGAGAGAGATCACAGAGGAAGAGAGAGAGAAGACAACTCTCTGCTGAGCAGGGAGCCCAATGCGGGGCTGGATCCCAGGACCTGGAGATCATGACCTGAGCCGAAGGCAGACGCTTAACCAACTGAACCACCCAGGCGCCCCGACTAATGCATTCTTAATGCAATGTGGCCTAAGTGACTACAAAACACCAACATGAACCAAGCACGTGGGAGCGCCAGTCACCCCCACCTCACAGAAATTGCCATTTCAATTAGAAGGACCAAGAACGAGACAGAAATAAGGTGTTATATTCAGTGGAAATTATGACACTACCTTTTACCCCCTGATATTTTTGCCAACTGGATTCAGGCACCTATGAAAGACTGAAGGCCTTTATTAACAGCATGAGTCTATGCATGGAGAGGAAAATAACATGCGTGCACCTCAATTTAAGCAGTACTATCTCTGGGGAGTGGCTTTCATGTGGACAGTCACATTCTACATTATAGATCTGTGACGTCTCACTTTTGTGCAATCTATGTATTATGTTAGTGATTGCACAAAATATAGCAAATCTCCCACCAAGTGAGAATACTTACAAATTCACTAGTCAGGAGACAGTCCACTGCGGCCGCCCCACCTATTCCCGTGAGCGATTGCTGATTCCGACAGTCCAAATTGCGGAGGTTAAATATCCAAACTTCACAAAATAGCCACTGCAAGTAAACACCCAGGCAACTTCAAAAAGGGCTGGGAGAGCCCATGCGATTCAGGGCCAATGGGGTCAAGTGAGAGCCAGGGGCAGGAGCTGAGGCCAGCCTCTCGGCCAGACCAGCAGACATCGTGGTCAGGTGGGCAGCACGTTCATAGACCTTTCTGCCAATTCCTCTCGTTCCTGCCGGGGCCGAGAGGCGGGGATGGAGTGTGTGTGCCCAGGACAACCAGCAGCAAGGAACAGACTTCACAAAGGTTTGCTGGATGACTACGTAAAAAGAAAGGTTGGGGAGGGAGGAAGGAGAGAAAGGAAAGGGATAGAGAAAGGAAGGAACAGAAGGGAGGAAGGGAGGGAAGCTGGAATGGAAAGGGAGGACATCTGCATTCTGCTCGACAAATAAAAGGTTGTATTTACTTGATGATCATCAGGGTTACGCATAAATTTAATAGTAGATGTTTTCACATGGAATTACCTTTTATTTCCCTTTCAGACCTCAGAGAGTCCTGGTAACGTTCAATTCAAGATGCAGAAAGAACAGGGTAGGTGCTCTGGATGTCCAACCGGGGATTTCTAAAGGGAAGGGACACAGGTTACAAATTATTCCGGAGAATAAAAGTGATTAATTTTTAAAGTATCATTAAAAAGAGACCGATTTTCACTGAATGAGAGACAGTGTATTTCTTAATAAACTGGGGGGGAAAATCGAGCCCAAAGCCTCTTTCAAATACAGCTGCTCTAGCCAACTTTAAGTTGATTCTAGAAGAAAACAAAAATCAAACACGGGGTGGGCTTTGTTTGTGCATTTACTGGAAAACAATCCCAACAAGGAGGCTGTGTACTGCCATCTGCCTGGAGCCCCCAACCCTGGTGGCTCTGTGCCCCTCCAAACTCAACACCCACCACACGCCCTGTCAGTCCTTCTAGGTCAGAAAACCATGCAGGAAACAAGGTAGCCCCTCACCAACAACTGCATCGCTGCGAAGGGAAAGAGACATACTTCAGGAACTTTCTTAATGTTTCTGAGCAAATAAAAATATTACAAAATAGGCATTTCAGCTTGTTTCATTCTCCAAATGCAGTTATGCATAAGCTCACAAACACATGCCCAGTTGTCCTGAGGCTTCTCTCTCTTGGAGCCAGGACAGAACTCGGAGGCAGCACCGTCCCAAATTGTGAGCACACAGTGTTTCGTTTTTAGGAAGGAAAGAATTAACATTGACCAGGCGTGTACTCAGGCCCAGAAACAATGTGATTCCATTTTACAAAGGGGAAAAGAAACTGAGGCTTTTTGAGGGAAGTCCAGTCCACCGGTCTGTCTGACACATAAACGCTTTTATTATACTTGGATATACTTGGATCAATCCTGAAAGTGATTGTCATCTGAATATCTGGCAACGCACCAAGAAAGTACCGCAGTGGAAAATTTAAATGTCTTCTCCTCCAGCATCTGCTTTCCTTGTATACCATCAATTCAAATAACTACATCTTTGTTTACTTGAAAGTGGGAGCTAGAGACAGGGAAGGAAAATGCTCAGACTGTAATAGGTATCTTTTATTGAGATTTACTGTATATTTCCCATGGATGTAGGAATAATCAATAGTAAAATTTTTAAGGAGGCACTTGGGACTTTGACAGACAATGGCTAAGAACCACTTCATTAAGGTCAATGCCAATGTCCCAAGCATCATTATCTTCTTTCTGGAGTGATGTGTAATGAACGGTATGCCAGAAGTTTATTAGCAAGGCTGCAAATCTTGACCTAGATATTGCACAGCTTCAAAAAAATAAAATAAAAAGAAAGCCTGAAAATGTCTATTTAAATAACAACTAAGACTGATCCTTCTCACACTCACATTTAAAACTGTCAAAACAATCTTCTTTCCCCTGTCCCTGCATCTAACAATGTTCAACAAGAACATAAAGTAACAATTAGTACCAGATTAAAATATGAACTCCAAGTTCTACAGCTGTTTTTGATTATTTACTACTTGCAATTTAAGGTTTTATTCGCCTGCTGAAATAGATGATTCCAGAATTCAAATGAATAAAATCATATACATTTAACATTAGAGAAACTTTTATTTAAATTGGGCCCAGAGGTATTTGAGATTGATGGTGACTCATAATAACAAAGTAAAAGGTTTTATGTTTATTTTCCAGCTAGTATTTTTTTGTTTTGCCCTAAATTGTATCAAAAATTCCTTTAAAGAAATCCTTTTCATCTTTATCATTATTTTTGCCTTTTCTTTCTCACACTTTTGAGGAGAAAAACAACAAAGAGGTCAGCCCTTCCTCTTAACGACTGAGAAATGTCAAAGTCACACCGTTATGATCGGGATACAGAATAAAACCATAAATGAATTTCAGGATTGGATTTATCCTCAAAGTCGCCATGTGACATCAAAACCATCCTAACAAATAATTCACAGCACATAGTTTAAAGCTAAGGCACTGTATGGTTAGCAGCTCCAACCCACTCCTTTCACATCTAAGGAAATGAAAGCCCAGAGTGGTCAACTGACCTCTCCAAAGTCACACAGCCCAGCGGGTCCTGGATCTCAGATTTCACAGATGCCAATCTAGTGCTCTATTAGATCATGACTGATCTTTAATTTCCACAAATAAACTCTTCAGTGCTTATAATTTCATCTGTTTTCTACTTCTCTTACTCTACACAGCATGAACACCACTTGATGAGTCAACTTAACTTTATGTTAATATGAAACACTACTCAAAATTATCAAAAACATGCTCTGCCTTTTGCTCTACTGAAAAAGACAGATTAAACCATTCATGCCCATGAGAAATCTGAAATAAAATTTGGGATACTCTTAAGTTGTCTAACCTAGATACGTCTACTCTAATAATAGAATTTCCCTCTCTTATTCACAGCCAAATCATAATCATAGCTTTGCTACAACACATTTTCAAGAAGATTTTATAGATAGCTAGCAAGCAAAATGTAGGTATTCTACAGTAAAAGCTTATATAAGTAGTTTTTAAAGTAAGAATTTCCAGATAGTTTCCTATTAGATCCATTAGTTCAAACAGAACTCTTATTCTCTGAAATTCTGGAATCACTCAAGAGCACTTAATTTACCTAGATCAGCAACTTATCATCAACAGTCATTTGTCGACTCCTCAATTATTTACACTGTGCAGAGCCAGGTGCAAAGGAACGCAAAAGCATGAGCTGATGTTCTTGCTACTGTAGGCCGATGAGGGAGATAATTAAGGAGGATTTCACAGTGGCATCTGAGACAAGGTTTGCACGTGATGAATGTGTATGTGTGAACGTGCGTTTAGAGGCCTAGTTAATGAAACCACTTGGGTTTTCTTAGAGAATATGAGCTGACAGATTTTGTAAACAGTACAGCTGGCCCTTGACCAACGAACTGCGAGGGTCCACTTATACCCGAATCTTTTTGTGATAGAAGCAGTACAGTACTGTAAATGTATTTTCTCTTCCTTATGATTTTCTTAATAACATTTTGTTTTCTCCAGCTTATTTTACAGTAAGAACATAGTATATAATACATATAACATACACAGTATGTGTGAAATGACTGTTCATGTTACAGGTGAGGCTTCTGGTCAACAGCAGGCTATTAGTAAAGTTTTGGGGGAGTTAAAAGTTTTACGTGGATTTTCTACTGCATGGTGAGGGATCGGCACTCTAACTCCTGCACTGTTCAAAAGTCAACTGTATATGTAGGGAAGCAGGGTAAGATAAATTAAAATAAACCAACAGATAACAGAAGAATCCCTCTAATCATGCCCAAAAGAGCAAAAAAAAAAAAGAAAAAAAAATGGTGAGGGAAACAAAATATCCTTTGAAAGGGGTTCCTTTCTTGAAAAAAAGTCAGCAACAAAATACCTTCCTTATATTTCTTCATAATCACTCATTCATGGTACTAAAACTCAGTGCGAGACAAAAAACCCCATTTAAAAAAGACAAGATTTAAACACTTTCAAAAAGAAAATAAACAAATGTCAAGTAAGCACAGGAAGAGATACTCAATATAATTAGTCAGTAGGAAAATGCAAAGTAAAACCTCAATGAGATACCATTAAAAACTCGTAAGAATGACTAAATTTAAAAGGACTAAAATATCAAGTGTTTGCAAGGATGTGAAGGAACTAGAATCCTTATACAAGGCTGGCAGGAAATCCAGAAAGTCACAGGCACTTTGAAAAATAATTGGACAGTTTCTTTATTTTTTTATTATGTTACGTTAATCACCATACATTACATCATTAGTTTTGATGTAGTTAGTGTTCCATGATTCACTGTTTGCATATAACACCCAGTGCTCCATTCAATACGGCACGTGCCCTCTTTAATACCCATCACCAGGTTAACCCATCCCCCCACCCCCTCCCCTCTAGAACACTCAGTTTGTTTCTCAGAGTCCATAGTCTCTCATGGTTCGTCTCCCCCTCCGATTCCCCCCCCTTCATTTTTCCCTTCCTGCTATCTTCTTCGTTTTTTTATTTTAACATATAATGTATTACTTTAAATTCAAATTTGATTAATTAACATATAATGTATTATTAATTTCAGAGGTAGAGGTCAGTGATTCATCAGTCTTATATAACACCCAGTGCTCATTACATCACGTGCCCTCCTTAATGTCCATCATCCAGTTACCCCATTTCCCACACCCTCCCCCTCCAGTAACCCTCAGTTTATTTCCTATGATTAAGAGTCTCTGATGGTTTGTCTCCCTCTGATTTTGTCTTGTTTTATTTTTTCCTCTCTTCCCCTATGATCCTCTGTTTTGTTTCTTAAATTCCACATATGAGATCATATAACTGTCTTTCTCTGATTGACTTACTTCGCTTAGCATAATAACCTCTAGTTCCATCCACATTGTTGCAAAAGGCAAGATTTCATTTTTTGATGGCTAAGTAGTATTCCATTGTATATATATACACCACATCTTCTTTATCCATTCATCTGTCGATGGACATCTGGGCTCTTTCCATAGTTTAGCGATTATGGACATCACTGCTATAAACATTGGGGTGCAGGTGCCCCTTCGGATCACTATATTGGTATCTTTGGCGTAGATATCTAGTAGTGCAATTGCTGGGTCATAGGGTAGCTCTATTTTCAACTTTTTGAGGAATCTCCATACTATTTTCCAGAGTGGCTGCACCAGCTTGAATTCCCACCAACAGTACAGGAGGGTTCCCCTTTTTCTACATCCTCCCCAACATCTGTCGTTTCCTGACTTGTTAATCTTTGCCATTCTGACTGGTGTGAGTGGGTAGCTCACTGTGGTTTTGATTTATATTTCCCTGATACCAAGTGATGTGGAGCATTTTTTCATATGTCTATTGGCCATTTGGATGTCTTCTTTGGAGAAATGTCTGTTTATGTCTTCTGCCCATTTATTGATTGGGTTATTTTTTTTCTTGGGTGTTGAGTTTGTAAGTTCTTTATGGATTTTGGATACTAGGCCTTTATCTGATAAGACATTTGCAAATAACTTCTTCCTTTCTGTCGGTTGTCTTTTAGTTTTGTTGACTATTTCCTTTGCTGTGCAGAAGATTTTTATCTTGA